AACTAAATACTAAAACTAAATACTAAAACTGGAAGACTAAAAGATGAGGTCTGGCAGGAATGTTTACAGATGGCATAGTGATCTGTGGTGAGAACAAGTAATGTGGAAGAGAACTTAAAGAGGTGGAGAAATGGAGAAATGAAAGTCAGCCATATGGTTTACGGTGAGTGGGAATGGATAAAGAACCCATTTGAGTGGGGGCCTCATAAGGCAGCCCATTGCTCTCCTCAAAAAGACACTGGTCTTTATTCAAACCTTTGCATCCCTCAGATGAAGGACACAAGAAACACTGTGTTCTGAGCTTCTCTGGATCCATAAAGAGGTCCCCAAGAATTATTTTCCATTGACTGCTCAGAGCCAGGCAGTGGTCCAAGTACTGTAGTGCAAAGAGGTGCCACAGGGATCACACAGACCATTGTCATGAAATTCATCACCATTTTGTGATTGTTGAGCAGGTTGTTTCCAGTTRGGACTYTAACCAGTGTACTTAGAGTTTTCCTTGTCAGTGCRATGAGAGCTTTCCCAAACCTAAGATTTGGGCCATTCATGAGTTTCTGTGCTTGTTCTTGTTCCTGTCTATATATTCCCATGCCTGCCTATACATACTGTATACCACCCACACTATACAGTGTCCTTTGGTGTCCTGAAAGGAGCTTTATAAATAAAATGTATTATTAATATTATCATTATAGTGTGTCAGCTCCCTCCAGAGGATTGAGTGTTGACATCTACTGTAATCCAGGCATGTAGGGCAATCCTACAGATTTTTGTTGAGATAACTACAGCAGGAATAGTCAGCCATAACAAAACAGAGAACACTGAGTACAGGAGCAGAGGTCACAAAGGTGCAGGACKTCAAGTGCTCAGGGTCGACTGTCCAGGAAAGTGGGAAGTTTGATTAAGAGGTGAAGAAGAGAGTCCTATGGAGCGGATGAAGAGTTTCTTAAAGGACTTGTGACAAAAGGATAGCAGCAAAAGTTAAAAAAATGTTTACACAATTGTAGTGAGAGCACTTATGTTGTATGGTTTAGAGACAGAGGCACTGACAAAAACACAGGAGACAGAACTGGAAGTGGCAAAGCTGATATTTGTTCAATTTTCTTTTTAYTCAGATGGCCCAAAAAATGTACAATCAAACATCTCTCCATCAAAGGAACACTATGAAGAAGGATCAGACATCACTCTGAGCTGCTCGGCTGAATCTAAACCTTCTGCTGAGTTTAAATGGTTTCTGAATGAAGACCTGCTGCCTGGTTCTGGACCAGAACTCAGACTGATGAAGGTTCAGACAAGTCAGAGTGGAGACTACAGCTGTCAGGCCTTYAACAACAAAACTCTGAGATATGAAACATCTCAGCGTTTATCTGTGTCGATTCTTGGTAAGTCTAAAATTAATTTAATATGAAATTATTTTAATTATTAAGTCATTAAAAGTCAAACWGTACCCTACACATGGCAGTTCCAATAAACCAGGTAGGACCTATAAATCCATAGGATTTTCCATTACAATTACTGTCACTTTTTAGCAATAATCTAACAAATTTACTCTACATTCACTGGCCACTTTATCAAGTACACCTATCTAACTGCTCATTAATGAAAATCTGGAATTACCTAACCACATGGCAGCAGCTCAATGCATTTAGGAATGTAGACACGGCCAAGACAATTTGCTGCAGTTCAAACTGAGCATCAGAATGAGGAAGAAAGGTGATTTAAGTGACTTTCAATGTGACATCGTTGTTGGAGCCAGACGGGCTGATCTGAGTTTTTCAGAAAACTGCTGATCTACTGGGATTTTCACCCACAACCATCTCTAGGGTTTACAGAGAATGGCCGAAAAAAGAGAAAATATCAAGTGAGTGGCAGTTCTGTGGTGCAAATGCCTTGTTGATGCCAGAGGTCAGAGGAGAATGGVCAGACTGGTTCGAGCAGATAGAATGACAACAGTAACTGAAATACCGGTAACCACTTGTTACAGCAGAGGTCTGCAGAAGAACATCTCTGAACGCACAACACGTCGAACCTTGTGGCAGATGGGCTWCAGCAGCAGGAGACCACACCAGGTGCCACTCCTGTCAGCTAAGAACAGGAAACTGAGGCTACAATTCACACAGACTCACCAGAACTGGACAATTGAAGATTGTAAAAACGTTACCTGGTCTGATGAGTCTTGATTTCTGCTGCAACATTCGGATGGTAGGGTCAGAATTTGGCATCAACAACATGAAAGCATGGATCCATCCTGCCTTGTATCAATGGTTCAAAGCTGGTGGTGGTGCAATAGTGTGGGGGATATTTTCCTGACACACTTTGGGCTCATTAGTATCAATTGAGCATCATGTGAACGCCACAGCCTACTTGAGTATTGTTGCTGACCGTGTCCATCCCTTTATGACCACAGTGTACCATCTTCTGATGGCTACTTCCAGCAGGATAACAAGCCATGTCATGAAGCACAAATCATCTCAGATTGGTTTCTTGAACATGACAATGAGTTCACTGTACTCAAATGGCCTCCACAGTCACCAGATCTCAATCCAATAGAGCACCTTTGAGATGTGGTGGAATGGGAGATTTGCATCATAGATGTGCAGCAGACAAATCTGCAGCAACTATGTGATGTTATCATGTCAATATGGACCAGGCTCTCTGAGGAATGTTTCCAGTACCTTGTTGAGTCTATGCCATAAAGGATTAAGGCAGTTCTGAAGGTAAAACAGGGTCCAACCCGGTACTAKCAAGGTGTACCTAGTAAAGTGGCCGGTGAGTGTATATCTAAGCTTGGGACTTTCTGTGTTAGCATGTTCTTATTGTGCATGTATGAATCATAAACATATTGCACTGATAGACCAAGTGTCACCACTTTCTGTTTTTAGAAACTGAAGCCAGCTGGWGCTGTTTTGTGGATGCTGCCATGTTGTATTTTTGGAATCACTGTCTGCATCCTAATGATATGTGGTGGAGGTGGTGGGACCTAAAACCTTTACTGGAACCAAATTTTTATTAAAAGTACTGATATTTTTTTTAAAGACAAATGGACCTAAATCATGGCAGCAAATAAAAAAAAGCATTCAGGACTGTTTAAAGTAATTCAGGACTGTTTTACTCCTGATTAATGCCAAGGCTTCTCTAYAGCTGATAATATGTTGGAAATGAATTTATTTGAACATGGTGCTTGAACTTGACCATGTTTTATCATCTATAAACTCTAAATGGATAGTGATTTTTAAATTGAGGGTTACAGTTCTTGATAGAACTAAAAATCAGAATGTTGTTTGTACAATAATTTATTGGCACCCATTACTCAAGGGTGGTTCCAGGGGCGGGGTCACAGGGGCATTAGCCCCTGCTGAAATTTGATTGACCCCCTGAAGTTCCCCTGTCCTGTCGCTTGTCTGTCCTTTGCCAAGAGCAATGGTTTTGGATGTAGTTTCATGACCAAACACTGGAGGCGCTAATGGGTCACATAGGAAAGTCCAACAAAAATCAGACAAGAAGTCTTCTCTTCTTAAGAAGATTCGAACAATTCCGCAGAAAAATGCTTTTCAAATGACAATTGATGCCTGGATTTTCTCTCATGTTGTGTGTTTGAGAGTATTTTATTTATCTACAGTAAAAATGCAGGTAAAGTTGGTAAATGAGAATTTATTGTGCAAGCTTTTTTATTTACACTCCAAGTGTTTGAACATGTGTGAATGGGTAAATGTATACACTTTACCAAAAACAGGGATTTGTGCGCAGAGATGTTGAACAAATACTTGGCCCTCTATGAATATCGTGGCCCCTTGATGGCCCCTTACTCAGAAAAATCCTATACCCACCACTGCCATTACTATACATTGAGTCTTCTTCTACTCTGGCCATTGTGACACAATTGGGCCTGCCTAGACACATACTTAACTGTGCCTTAATACCGTAGACTTATCATTTCCCTTTTTACTGGTTAAAAAATAAAATAAAATTCTCATTGTTTTCATCCACAGCACGTATATCTAATGTTGTGGTGCAATCAAACACTCTGGACTTGGCTGAGTTTAAGAACTCTATCAGTCTGTCCTGCTCCTCCTCTGGATCGTCTCCTTCCTTCCTCTGGATGAACAGCAGCTCTGAGCTTACAACCAGCGACAGAGTTCAGATCACTGATGGAGGATCCACTCTGACTATAATCAATGTGACCAGATATGATCAGGGACCATACAAATGTCAGGTGTCCAATTATTTCAATGATGACGTCAGCGATCCAGTAAACATTTTCATAAGCTGTGAGTTTCTGTCTAGCATCAACATATTCATCTTTCACCAAATGCATCTATATTCAAAACTTTATAATAAAACTAATGTTTAAATACTGTTTCATCCTGAGAAAGCTGCAAATTTTGTAGCTGCCAATATTATGTTCTGATGATTTTTCTCGAAATATGCCACACATTACAGATGGTCCAGAAAAGGTTGAATTGACAAAATCGCCATCTCAGGAAGCTTTTGAAGAAGGTTCCAGCATCCTTCTGTCTTGTTCAGCTGACTCCAGACCAGCTGCCACATTWCACTGGTTTATGAATAAGGATCCACTGCCTGATWCTGGACCAGAGCTTAAACTCATAAAAGTTAAAATAAATCAGAGTGGAAACTACAGCTGTCAGGCCTTTAACAACAAAACACAGAAATATGAAGCTTCCCGGTATTCAGTGATCACTGTTCATAGTAGGTTTTTTTATGTATTTAATTATTGATTTCAAATATTTGTATATGGAATTAAATTCTTTGACACCAATCATAAGATGCAGATGGCCTTCTGTGTTTCGATGACAACAAATTAAACTTGATTGTGTTTGGAATCTTTTGCTGTCTTTCATCTAATTATTTTGGTTTCCAACTAATCACAAAACTTTTTAATTTTTCTGTCACTGATCTCACTAGAAAAYTTGGATCGGCAGATAAATTTTTCACTTGTTTAGTGCCAAAAATAATTGGAATGATTTGAGGCACTAAGTGGATAATTTCAAGGAGAATATATATACATATGTGTATGCTGTATACTGTGTGTACATA